CCTGACCTTGCGATCCGCCCGCCTCGGCCTCCCAAAGTGCTGGGATTACAGGCTTGAGCCACCGCGCCCAGCCTTATCAGTCTTTTCATCCAGCACTTGTACTTTTAGAAACGTTTTCCTGAAGAGATCTCTGGACAAGATTGTTGATAAAAGCAAAAATATGGAAATAACCTAAAAGCCCATCAATGATACAGTGATTTTAAAAGCTATAGTACATCTATACAATAAAATCCCATTTCACCTTTTTTTTTTTTTGAGACGGAGTCTTGCTCTGTTGCCCAGGCTGGAGTGCACAATCTTGGCTCACTACAACCTCTGCCTCCTGGGTTCAAGCGATTCTTCCGCCTCAGCCTCCTGAGTAGGTGGGATTACAGGCAACCGCCATCATGCCTGGCTAATTTTTTTATTTTTGTAGAGATGGGGTTTCACCATGTTGGATGATGGTCTTGAACTCCTGACCTCAGGTAATCCACCTGCCTCGGCCTCCTAAAGTGCTAGGATTATAGACAGGAGCCACTGTGCCTGTCCCCATTTCACCTTTAAAAAATGCAGTATTCTCTACTCAGTCGTTCCACTCCTAGGTATATACTGAGTAGAAGTGATACATGTGTTTACCAGAAGACATGTACAGGAACATTACTAGCACTATGCAAAATAGGAAAAAACCGAAAACTATGTAAAGTGCCTCTTAAGAGTAAAATGGATAATTTGTACGTTGCTCACACGTCATACTGTATACAGCCTTGAGAATGAAAGAGCTACAGCTGTGTACACTAACGTGGATGAATCTCATACCTGTAAGTTAAAGAGGCAAAGCACAATAGGGTGTATTTGTTATGAGTCTGTTTATATCAAGTTCAAAAACAGACAATACTAATCTATAGTGTTACAAGGTAGACGATTGCTTTCCTTGGGAGGATAGTGGCTAGAATAGGGCCAAACTAAGGGTCTCGGGGAGACCAATAATGTTTTCTGTCTTGAGCGGGGTGCTATTTACTCAGGTGTATTCAGTTTATGAAAGTCCATTGAGCTGCACAACTAACATTTGTGCACTTACCTTTGTGAAGATCATACTTCAAGGAAAAAAGTCAAATGAATAAAAACCCACCCAAAATTTAAAAGAGACGAGAACTGTCACCAGAACTTTAAGTGTTGGTGCCTTTGTAGGGTGAGTTTGGGGACAACTTTACTTTGTTTATAGTACTCCAAATAATTTACATTCTCTACATCAGTAAATATCTTTATGCTCAGGAAAAAAGGAATATTAATATTTTGGAAAAATTATAGACAAATATGAGTTAATATTTTCACAAGCTCTTCTTTTATTACATTAGTATTGTTCTCTGATTTTTTTCCACTTAATTTTTTTTTTT